AATCCTGACACTCCATGCTGTGGGGTGAGGGCCCAGGAGATGTGGTCTATGTGTTATACAGCAGTCTCATTTTACCCCAGCAAGCAGTGTCTCTAACTCTAAGCCCTTCAAAGGCAGGAAATACCAGGTCTTTCTGTGCCTTATATCTTCTACCCCACAGATCCTTGGCTCAGGGAAAGCACCCAAAACCTACTTCATTCACGTTTTCCATCCAGACTCTGAGACCAGGCAAGCTCAGGGAGTCGGAATTTCTCTATGGCATAGCTAGAGCAGGCACAGCCACCATGGAGGTGGCAAAGTGGACAGTGTGCTGAAGGGTGGCAGCCCAGCCCCGCAGGAGAGGCCATGTGCGTGTCTGCCTCACAAAACACAACCACACTCTACCTTCTAGGTCCTGGACTTTCTTCATGTAAATCTTCAGTTGTTTTTTTAACTTCCTCTCATTCTTTTCCAGCTTCTCAACCAATTCTTTAAGGTCCTGAAAAGCAGAAGGAAGCAGAATCAGAACAGACTTGAGTATGACTCTGGATGGCAGGTAAAATACTTGCTGGGAGTGAAGGAACCAGAGCGGGTTGCAGGCAGCAGCCAGCGTCCTGTCAGAAGAGTCTCCCCACAGAAGCTGGGCTCCTTGTGCTGGAGCCCAGGAGGCGGGCGAGCCCAGGAAGCGGGCATGAGTCAGAAGCCATTATCTCAGCAATCACAGGACAAACTCCTCCTAGTGCCAGCAGCTTGTGGAATCCCAGCACTCCCAAGTCAAGCCTCCTCAAGTTGCCATGTCAATCTCTAAGACAAACTCAGCCCGGTGTCCTGGAGAAGTGTGGGCAATGCCCTGAGACAGAATGGGAGGTGAAGGAACGTCGAGGTGAAGGAACTGGCTGCACGGGCCAGCGAGATCACCTAGGGCCTAGAAGCCAAACAGCAGCAGCTGTGGCCCCAATCCCTAGCAACTGCTACCACTGGAAACAAGTCAGCCTACTGGGACCCAGAAGGGCAAGCAATGGAGGGAAGAATTTTCCATGTTTTTTTTTTTTGTTGTTGTTGTTGTTGTTGTTTGTTTAATTTTAAAGAGAAAAAACTCCCAATAAAACAGTTTTGAAACAGGTTAGTAGGAGAGTTCCAGTAATTATACATTATGAATGGTGTCTTTAACAGGATATAGGCATGCTATCTTATTCAAACAATATTAGCAATGAACTAAGAGAAATTAGCTCTATAAGTATCTTGAGTATAAATATTTTTCTTTTTCCCTGCATCAGTTTGTCTTTGAAATTTTTTTCCCATTTCACAATATACCTACTGTACATTTTGGATCTTACTTGCTCTTTCAGCTTCCTACACTAGTTAGACAATATGATGTTTACATATATGGGTCTGATTTATTTGACCTATGAGTATGGTCTTGAGTTGCATCCTTTTACCTATAAAAGTCTCTAGTTTATCTTTTCTTATGGCTGAGTAGTAATCCATTTATGTAAAAAAAATCCACATCTTTTTTATCCATTCCTTGATTGATGGGCATTTGGGTTGATTCCAAGATCGAGGTATGATTAATTGCACTGCTATAAACATGTGCACATATATTGTATTGGTATGATGTTTCTAATTCTGGGAAGATACCAGAAGGGGAATATCTGGGCAAAATGTGACCTCCAATCCTAGCTTTTTGGGGCATCTCTACACTAATTTTCACGGAGGTTGCGCTAATCTATGCTCCCACCAATAGTGGAGAGGGTTCCTTTTCCCCACAGCCCTGCTGGCATTTGTTATGAGTTGATTTTTTTGAGGATGGCCATTCTTTCTTGGGTGAGATGGAATCTCAGTGTTGTTTTAATTCTCATCTTTTAAATAATCAATGATGTTGAACATTTTATTTGCCATTTGTATTTCTTCATCCGAGAGGTATATATTCATCTTAGATGCCAATTTTTGGATCATGCCTTTGAATTTGGGGAATCTTTTTTTTTTTTTTAATTCTGTATATGTTCTAGATAGAAGTCATTTGTCTGAGGGACATTATGTAAAAATTTTTCCCACTCTGTGGGTTGTCTTTTCATTCTACTGGTGATTTCTTTTGTTGCACAAAAGCTTTTTAATAAGGTGAGACCCCAACTTTTAATTCTTCGTATTATTTCCCTTACAGTCTGGGTTTTGATCATGTAGTCCCTGCTTATACCTATGTCTTTGAGACTTCTACCTATTTTTTCTTACAGTATATTATGTTTCCAATTAATATTCTTTGAGCCATTTTGATTTGTTTAGTGCATGACAGACACTGGTCTAGTTTTAATCCTCGGCATGTGGAAAGTCAGTTTATCCAGAACCATTTATTGAAGATACCTTTTTTTCCAGTGTGTATGTTTAGCCCCTTTGTCACAGA